AAAGCAAAGAATAACACAAGGATGTTTACTTGTATTTTATTGACTATGGAAAAGCATTTGATTGTGTGGATCATAACAAATTATGGGTAACATTGAGAAGAATGGGAATTCCAGAACACTTAATTGTACTCATGAGGAATCTGTACATAGACTAGGAGGCTGTCGTTTGAACAGAACAAGGGGACAGTGCATGGTTTAAAATCAAGAAGGGAGTGCATCAAGGTTGTATCCTTTCTCCAAACTTACTCAGTCTGTGTTCTGGTTACCTAGTGCTGCTCTGACAAGAATATACCACAAATGGGATGGCCTTAACAAACAGGAGTTTATTCTCTTCACAATGTAGAGGCTTTAAGTCCAAGTTCAAAGTGCCAGGCTCTAGGGGCTGGGTGAAAGCCTCTCAACCTTGGGGTCCAGCTCTGCTTCCTGCTCCTGGCCCACTGGGGCTAGAGGCATTTCTTCACTCAGACAGCTGCTGACTGCTGAGGCTGAGAAGCCCCAAAGTAGACAAGTAAAAAGGCATAGTCCCGATGTTACCAAACCACAGGGCAGGCCATTAACTTAAGTCCATTGTAAGTCCCAAGATCAGCAGAGCATGGCAGGCTCCTGAGCAATGAATGACACAGCTACATGCAGGGTCCAAGCATGCCATAGGCTAGAGACCATTCTCAAAGCTTTTCCTCATATACAGGAAGCAGACCACATCCCAAAGGCAGCTACTCAGCTGCTTGTGGTAGATCCCAACATGGAGATGATGGCCAGTCTCAGCATGGGGAACAACTACAACTAGCTGCCCAGCCACTCAACCAGGCCCAGCCAAGTTGACACACAAACATAACTACCACAGTCTGTATGCTGAGCAAATAATCCAAGAAGCTGGACTATATGAAGAAGAATGTGGCATCAGGATTGAAGGAAGAATCATTAACAACCTTCAGTACACTGATGACACAGCTTTGCTTGCTGAAAGTGAGGATGACTTCAGGCACTTAATGATGAAGATTGAAGAATACAATCTACAGTATGGATTACATTTCAATATAAAGAAAACAAAAATCCTCACAACTGGACCTATAAGCAGCATTATGATGAATGGAGAAAAGATTGAAGTTGTCAAAGACTTCACATTGCTTGGTTCTACAATTGACAACCAGTGGATGCAGTAGTCAGGACATCAGACGACATGTAGCACTGGGCATATCGGCTGCAAAAGACCTCTTTCATGTGCTGAAGAGCAAAGACGTCTCCTTGAGAACTAAGGTGCGCCTGACACAAGCCATGGTATTTTCAGTCACCTCATATGCACGTGAAAGCTGGACAAATGAATAAGGAAGACTGAAGAAAAGTTGATGCTTTTGTGTTGTGTTGCCGGCTAACATTGCTGAAAGTGCTGTGAACTGCTAAAAGATCTAAAATCTGTCCTGTGGAGAGATGCAGCTGGAGTGCTTCTTGGAAACAAGAATGGCCAGACTTCAACTTCAGTCTCACCTACTTTGGTCATGTTGTCAGAAGGGACCATTCCCTGGAGAAGGATGTCATGCTTGGTAAGGTGGAGGGTTGAAGAAATAGGGGAAGGCCCTCAATGAGATGGATTGACACAGTGGTTATGGCGATGGGCTCTAGTATAGCAGGGATCGTGGAGCTGGCATGGGACCGGGTGGTGTTTTTTACTGCTGTGCATAGGGTTGCTATGAGTCGGAGATGACTCGATGGCACCTAACAACAGCAACAACAGTCTGGCAGTAACGAATGTTCAGGTATGAAGCAAGAGTAATTATGGCTATGATGATTAAGGTTATGTGCCAGCTTGACTGGGCCATGATTGTTAATGGTTTAGTAGTTATGTAATGATATAGCTTGGCAGTTGCATAATGATGTAGTCATCCTTTTTTTTTTTTTTTTTTAATCCTCCATTTGTAAACTGACGTGGTCATCTTCCATTTTTGCATAATGCCGATTTTTGCATGACAGCTTGGTCTTTGAAACCTAATTATGTCGTATAAGTGACAAGTGGTGTATTAAGACTTCATTTTTTTTATGACTGCATAGTATTCCATTGTATATAAATACCACATTTTGTTTATTCATTCATCTGTTGATGAACATTTGGGTTGTTCCTACCTTTTGGCTATTATAAATAGTACTGCATGGAATATTTGTATACATGTGTCTGTTTGCATTGCTGCTCAAATTTCTTGGGTATATACCTAAGGCTGGAATTGTTGGATCATATGGTAGCTTATGTTTAACTTTTTGAGGAACTACTCAACTGTTTTTCATAGCATCTCTAGCATTTTGCATTCCCACCAGCAGTGAATGAGGGTTCCATTTTCTCCACATCCTTGCCAACACATTTTCCTGTTTTTTTTTTTTTTTTTAAATTATATGCGTCCTTATGGGTGTGAAGGGATATCTCATCGTGGTTTTGATTTGTATTTCCCTGATAGCTATTTTCATTCGCCTCATATGCATGCCAAAACTGGACAGTGAATAAGGAAGACCAAAGAATAATTGATGCATTTGAATTATGATGTTGGCGAAGAATTTCGAGTATACCGCGGACTGGCAGAAGAACATACAAACCGGTCTTGGAAGAAGTACAGTTGGAATGTTCCTTAGACGTGAGGATGGCAAGACTTTGTCTCTTGTCATTTGATCATGTTGTCAGGAGGGATTTGTCCATGGAGAAGGACATCATGCTTGGTACAGAAAGTAGAGGGCCAGCAAAAAAGAGGAAAACCCTCAATGAGATGAATTGACACAGTGGCTGCAGCAGTAGGCTCCAATATAGCAATGATTGTGAGGATGGTGCAGGACCAGGCAGTGTTTCGTTCTGTTGTATATGGGGTCACTGTGTGTCAGAACCAACTCGAGGCACCTAGCAACAAACAATAGCAGCTAATGAGAAGGAGCACTGGTGGCACAGTGGTTAAGTGCATGCCTGCTTGCCTGTGAACCTAAAAATCAGTGGTTTGAATCCACCAGCTGCTTCATGGAAGAAAGATGTGTCATTCTACTTCTGTAAAGACTTACAGCCTTGGAAAACCTTTCAGGGAAGTTCCACTCTCTCCTGTAGGGTCTCTGTGAATCAGAATCAACTCCATGACAGTAACCCCTCCCCCCCCGGGGTGTGTGTATATGTGTGTGTGTGTGTGTCGGGAGGGGTTAGGAAGTAAATACCTAATAGGACAAACCATCTCTTTGAACTAAGGCTTTAAGGCACACTTTTTAACTTTTTAAATGAAAGATCTAGATTTACCTGTGTATCTTCTTCTAAGCATCATTTCTTAGTAGTTATTAAATGGCCAGCTTACAGGCATAACAGAGCCAACAAGGAAAAAAAAATGAAAATGTATAGTCTTTGGGTTTAGTTAAAAAATTAGTGCCCTAACTAATAGTAAACAGATTGAATGAGGATTTGTCATCTTGCAGTGTTATTTTAACATGATATAATCACCTCTTTATGATACTTTTTATTTCTAAAAATCCCTCAAAGGCACTATTGATAAAATACGACAATATAGAGATGTCAGTTTTATGGCTCCAGAGATCTACTACACGTTTTGTAAACATATTTCAGTTATGTTTTGGCAGTAAAGAGAACAAGAAGATAATGCTTCCATTAAAGTGATCAACTACGCATGTATAAATTGGGTGTGAAGATGTGTGAAAACGCTTCTCTTTGCATGTATAAATAGCATCTGTTGCGTATATAACTGTCTTATAATGCTTTGGGGTAATTCAGCAAGTATAGCACTGAAAATGGTGGGTTTGTGTGCTGATCTTAAAATAGAAAGTATATAAATTGCTTTATAATAAGTCTCCCTCCTGCCTAGCTGTTATTTTTTTTGTTGATCCGTACTTGTTTCCTCTAAGCTTTTTGCTGTTTACTTATGTAATTGATTAAAATTTTAATTAATTCTTTTATTGTTTTAGCTATTTTATTTTTTATCCTTAAAACAGTTATTTGTAAGTAAAAGCAAACTTAAGTGCTCCCTTGCTACCTGGGACACTGTGTCTTTATGCTTTAGGGCATTGGTATTTCAGTAGTACCATTGGTGAAAAAGTAAACAATGAGTTTCCTTACTTTTCCTTACTTTTCAGATACTTCTGGTGCCATCTTTGAGTGCATTAAAAATTTTATATCCTATGAAATCGATATTAAATCAGTATATTACTCTGTATGATAAATTATTTTACTTTTAGAAATTTCATATGGAGATTTTTTAAAAGCAATTACTTTCTGTCTTGATGCATTATTTTCCTTTGTTAACATGATTCTGAGTGCTTTTCTGTCTCAAACATGGAATTTTGTTTGTTTCCTGTGCCTATCAATTTTGATTACATTTTTCATGTGTGTGTTTTCCCCTCCTCCTGTTTTTTTCACCTGCTTTCTACAGATTTCCTCCTCTGATGCTCCTCTTCAGCCTTTGGTATCCTCTCCTTCTCAGCAAGCTGCTATTGAGAAAAACAAATTGGAGGTATGGTAGTGTTTTAGCCAGCTGCACTATGTAATGTTCAGTGGTAAATTAACTTCCTTTTCCAGTGTGCCATAATTTATAGCACTGTAATACTTAATTATATTTTCAGTGGTCCCATGTATTAAATATGTTAAATATATTTTCTGTATGCCACAAGTCGGGTTAGAGACTTTAATTGTAATTAATTTAAGAATGAGTGCATTGATATAATAGGTATATTATCCAAACAGTTAAAAACAGTTAGTTTTTTTGTTACTTCCATTGAGGGTTTTAATTTTCAGAAACTTTTTTACGCTTGCTGTTGAGTTCTTTGATCTATTAGGAAAATCTTTGATTAAAAACTTTTTCTTTCTGTGATTCTACAGTTAGAAGCACTTGAAGAAAATTAATATTGTTACCTTTTTTTTTTTTAAATTTAATTAATTAATTAATTTTTATTAGGATTTGGGTGAAGATTTACAGAGTAAATTCACTTTTCATACAGCAGTTCACATATACTTTGTCTCATGTCATTGACCAAAATTTACAATGCAGCAGCTCCCCTCCCACTTCCTCCCTGTAGTTACCTCCTCCCAGTGTCCATCCCTTCATACTCTTCTGCACCCTGAGCTATCTCCCTGTGCATAAGCAGCCCTTCCTTCTCCCATGATTGTTCTCTCCAGGGCGTGTATCTACTTGAGGTAAATGTTTAACTCACATGCCTGTACTTTGTTTGGCTGGAAACCACAGTTGTGGGTTCAATTCCAGATCTGCAGGGCAGCTAGGGGCCATAGTCTCAGTGGTTCCACCAGGCTCTATTGGACCAGCAAACCTGGTCCCCACCTTCTTTTTTTTTTTTTTTTCTCCAAATGAGTTTGAGTTTTGTTCCACATGGTTCTCCCTCTTTATGCAGGATCTCCTACATCCCTTCCAAGTGGATGGCAGTGGTAGCTGGGCACCATCTAGTTCTTCTGGTCTCATTGTTACCTTTTTTTAAGCAGTAATAACCATTATACACATAAAATGTATGTAGTGTGGAAATATGAGTTTTACGTAATCAAATGATATTTGTTTGAATGTCTTTGAGGTGGAGGGTGCTTAAAACGCATACATACTTTAAAAATATTAATATATAAAGTCATTTATGTATTTTAAAGTCATTCCTACAAATATTTGACAGTTTTAATTTCTTTGACTCTCATAGGTTTTTTCCTTTTGTTATATTGCATATTTATTGTAATAAATATAAATTGATAAATGTATTCCAATACAGTTGTTAACATTGAATTTAAAGAAACATTCCTTCAACTAACATTTTTTTCTGGCTCCCACTCCTGATAAGTGATACGCTAGATTAGTTTTCTTAGTACTCTTTGATCTTTCAGTAGCTTTTGATTCTATAGGTGGAAGTCATCTGTGGGTCAAACTGTATGATCTGAGTTTAGATCCCATGCCATTCATTCACTTTAAAGCCTGTGTCATAATACCATTGCCAGAGTCATAGCTAATGACACCACATGTGGACAGCTAAAATTCCAGTGTTAAAGAGCATCAAATTATGCTCTCCCTCTATTAAAAATAGCTAAGTAATTTGTGTTGTTTTTGGTGATTTAATATATGCCCAGCAGTCATAGTGACTAGAAAGACAAGTCTCTTCCCCACTCTCATGACAGTGACTTTCTTGAGAAATAGGTAACAACTCTGAGAGATTATGGGCAACCCATCCCCAACATATTAGTGAGACTGTTCAGTTACATTGCTTTCCTTACCAAACTTTATTAATAGTATCTGGAAAATATTTGCTAATATATAAAGCATTTTTACACATCCAAGTTATTCTGCACTTACTAAGTGGAGGATGATATTACCTTATAAACTTGTTCTAAAGATTAAGTGAATCAAAACATTGTCTGTGTGTAGTAAGGATTCCATAAATATTAGCTGCTGTTATAAGGAAGAACAATGATGATAATAATAGTAAAGTTCCATTGGAGACACAGTGAGTAGTGAGGGTTGATAGTCTGAACTCCGTAGTCCATCAGACCTACCATTGGTTAATTGTGTTGCTTTAGTTAGTTCTAAGATGTTTCTTCATTTGTATAATGACAGTAATGACATATTTATTTCAGAGAGTTGTTATAAGGATTAAACTAGAGAATGAGGTGCTTTGGTGATTATCATAGTGCTGGCTCATGAAAAGCACTTATAATAAGTGGTGGCTGTGTTTTGGAAACAAAGATTTTGATTTGGGAAATGGTTGAGTCACAATATGTGATGTCTTGTTGTTGTTGTTGTTATGTGCCGTCGAGTCAAACCTGACTCATAGCGACCCCTCCTTGGGTTTCCGAAACAGTATCACTACGGAAGTAGGATTGCCCAACCTTCCTTCCGAGGAGTGGCTGGTGGGTTTTAACCGCCAGCCGTCTGGTTAGCAGGCAAGTGTCTTAGCCACTATGCTACCAGAGCTCCTTAAAAGGTTGCATCTTCCTCATTTCTGGTGTGCCGTCCAGGGACTCTCAACCAAGCTCTTACTTAGGCACTTGATTTACAAATTTATTTTGAGAAATATACCCAACTTTCTAGTTTTCTTGGTGTCTTAGACTATGTTAGTATTCTTCATGTTTATAGCAAAATGCCAGTTTTGACACCTGGTCATCTGGTGCCAAAAGCATGTAGATCACTCTTCAGTTTTTTAGCACTTCAGACATTCAGAAAGTTCAACTTTGTATTGACTTTTATCCTGTTTCCAAAGAGCATTATTGAAACAGATGGTTTTAGAAGCTTAGTCTAAGGGAGCCTTGGCTATAAACTCTTTTTATCTGGGTTCTGAAAGTTCTATCCTTGTATCCTTCTATTACCACAAAACAATAGAACTACATTGTTAGCTTGTAAATGCATTCCCTGATATGTGAAACACTCAATGCTTTTTTTTTAAGGATTAGTAAAAGAAAAGATTAATAAAAGAATCGCTTTACAGTTTGCCTGCTGTTCTCAAAATTGCAGTTGAAGACATTGTTTATTCATGTCCTCAATATAAACGTGCCAAACGTGCAAGGGAGCCACATCTTTTGACCTCCTCTAACCCCACAAGAGGAAGACAATCACTGTCAGTAGTCCAAGGCCTATTCCTGTAAGGCCAAACACGCTGCCTCCCTCCAGCCCTTTCACCAACCGTGACACCAACCATTCTTCCCACAGCACCCACCACCTCTCTGCTGGATTTGGTAATTTGCTGCAGTGGCCACACAGCACTCACAAATTATGGGGTTTATTAGGGAAGCACCAGGCTACAATTCAAACTGAGGAACAATGCTCAGTCTCTCTTAGCCCACCATCTCTTTTAGTCTCTCTCAGCAGTTCTTGTCTCTCGGTGTCTCTCTCTCAGCAATGAGTGTCTCACAGCATCTCTTTGTCAGCAGTGCGTGGCTCTCAGGAACATGTTTCTCTCAGCAGCATGTCTTTCATAGCCAGCAGTCAGACTTTTTCTGCCTCTAGGAGGCCTCCTTTTGAGTCTGGCAGAGTGGCCAATCTAACCAATCATACATCAGAATTCTAAGCACCTGAGAGAGAGAGAGCAAACTTTCCAGAACATTGCTTTGTGCCACTCTGAACAAAAATACCGCAGGTAGATAACATTTACAATCAGGAACTCCTCAGTTGCTCACAGCAAATTCCACCACAGAGTTTACAAAGACTTATGGCTAGAAAAGCCATACCAGGTAATTTACTACACTGCAAAAACGTCTTTACTCTGAATTGCTATAGCATTTGCAATTGAGACCAAGGTTTTTCTTTCCTATTTTTATACCAGACAACCAATAATAAAATTACAATGCTTTATATTTATATTTGGGTAAGGAGCTCTGGTAGCATAGTGCCTAAGGCACTTGACTGCTTACTAGAAGGCTGGTGGTTCAAACCCACCAGCCACTCCTTGGAAGGAAGGTTGGACAATCTACTTCTGTAGTGATACCACCTCAGAAACCCAAGGAGGGGTCGCTATGAGTTGAGGCTGACTCGACAGCACGTAACAACAACAACAACATATTTGGGTAGTGCTTTACAGTTTGGAGAGTTCTTTTTTATGAGGTTTTTAGTTTCTTTTTTAATACTGAAATACACATGAAATATATATCTAGTTTAATGACAAATTATAAAATGAACACTAGTGTTGAACATCGTCAGTACCTCAGAAGCTTCCGGTATGACTCACCCTGTTTATAATAATCCCGTCCCTTATCTGACATCTTGAGTTTTATCATCACTTCTTTACTTTGCTTCACAGTTTTACACTGTTATGCATACCCCCAAACAACGTAGTTTTATCTGTTTTTGAACTTTATATGAATGTTTGCAAAGCTCTTAGCACTCTTATTATTTCTCTTATGTTATGGCCTATGAATTATGGGTATTATCTCTTCTGGTTTACAAATAACAAAAATTCCACTTGGATGGGGTTGTGTCCAGTACACAGGCACAAACACAATCTATATGCATTTTGTGGGTTTATTGTGCTACCTTTTCTAGGCTTATCACTTTAGTGCTAAATACCAGGAAACTAAAGACTAGGTGAGTGCTCAATTGCCAATTCTGGGTTTCTAGTCTTCTCTTTCCACTAAATGGTTTATGAATACTCTGTTTTATCTTTATTTCATTTTCCTTTCTTGACAATTTTGTGGCCCTTTTTAAGTTTTTAATATTTTATCCCTTGGGAAGTAGGCAGGATGGAAATTGTATACATCATAATACGATTATGGTTTATCTTGGCTGTTGTGGCTTAAACACACTAGGTAGCTGGTTCTGGTCCCCAAGAACTATTTCCAACACTTTTTCCCTGAGAATATTATTGTATTTTGCCTTTGTCAAACAAAAAGCTATGCTACTATTGTTGTTTTTAGGTGCTGTCGAGTTGGCCTTGAGTCATAGTGATCCTGTGTATAACAGCTATGATAACAGAACTGAAAAAGTATTTGGTGATGTTTTTTAAAACTAAAAGTGATTTTGTATTTTTCCTCTATGTTTACCTGTTATATTTTCTTCATCCATGTTTTAAGGAATTTTGTTTCATCATTTAATTAATTTTTCCATCATATTTAAAATTAAATTTTATGATTGCTATTAAGAAGCCTAACTTTATATAAGGATGTAGTAAGAATTTATTAAATAGAGGCCTCATTTGTTTCAAACAGACAGACAAACACAAAGCAAATCTTAAAATGTAGAAGAAGTTCTAAGTTGTCTCACTTTTTAAAGAGAAGAGATATTCTTTGTGTCATCAACATGTAATCTCAGTGATAGTATTAATTTATTCTTTACTGTTATATGTAGTATCACCTGGATGTTGTCATCATTTCTCAAATGATGATTCAAACTAGTAAAATGAAAAATGTGCTAAAGTTGACAGTTTTTAAAAGTAAGTTTATTATCAAAACTTTGGACTATGTTTCAGAAAGAAAAGGAAAAAAAAAAGGAAGATAAAAAGAGAGAAAAGGAGCCAGAAAAGCCTACAAAACCTCTAACAACTGAAAAGGTAAAACTCTATTTTTTTTCAATTTTTTTAAATCTGTGAAGATTGTGATTTTATTTTTATACTTATGTTTTGAAGACTTTCCTGATATTGTTGTTATGTGCTGTTGAGTCGGACCTGACTCATAGTGACCCCTCTTTTGGTTTCCAAGGTGATATCACTACAGAAGTAAATTGCCCAGCCTTCCTTCCAAGGACTGGCTGGTGGATTTTGAGTTCCTGGTGTTAGTGAAGTGCAAATAATGATTCAACAAGTATATGTTGAGTGAATATCATGTGCTAAGCATATCTTCCTATCTGTCCTATATGATTTGTAATCAGGTATATGTATGTGCATCATGTAGGTACTTCAAGGGCAGGTACTCTGTTATTAATCACATAAGAGATGGTGTTTTTAGTTCTCATGTATGTAGTCTCATCAGGGAGGTAAGTCATGTCAATAAGATAATTCTTATAAGGTATCTCACTGGGACAAAATAATTTTTTTGGGGGGGGGCGAAGGTTAATCATTTGATTTTATGTTTCATTTTTTTATTGTAAGAGCTTGTTTACATTCAACATTATGTGTACATTTAGTTTCATTCCCCATTTATCATGTCCAACCCTAACCCAGTCTCCTCTCCTCCCTACCCTGTAACCGTCCCCCTGTACCCCTCATATTTATGCACTCCTATTTCTCCTGTATTTCCTCAGTTTGAATATTGGTCCTCTGGTGTCCCATGGTCTATTGCTCTAAGGGATGTAGTACCATTGAGTATGTGAGTGCGTCATCCTGGGTTGAGCGGTCTGCATGTACATCTTGTTAACTATTAGGCTGAGAGCCAGCCCCTGGGCGTGTGTTTTATTCCAGGCACAGAATGTATTCTAGGCCATAGTATTGGGGGGTTTCATCCAACTTCATCAGACCAGTAATTCTGGTCATCATTGAGTTTTTGGATTTTGTTCCATGTTTTCCCTCCCACTCTATCCAGGATCTCCAGATTTGATCCTTTCCTGAGTAGTTGGCATTGGCTGGGTAGGGATAAAAGAATTTTTATACTGAAGTGGAAGTTTAGATAAGGAAGAGCTAACATCTGGAAGGGAATTTGAGAAAAGACTCCTTACTGAAAATCAGTATTTGAGGTAGGTTTTGAAGTGTAGGTAGGATTTATAGCAGTTGGAGAGAGCAGTCTGAGGAAAGACATGGAAACTGGAAAAAGACAAAATATGTTTAGGAAACTATTAAGTAGTTTTGAAGAAAGATATGTGTATATATCTGTAACAAATGGTGAAAAATAAAACCAGAATGATAGATTGAACTCAGATTCCTAGAGTACCTTAAATTCCAGATTGGGATATTCATTCCTTTTTAGGACGAAAGACTGTAGGCTGCATTTTACAGTTTCTAAAGCAGGTGATACAGTAATTGAGAAGGATACTTTCAGAAGATGAATTTGGCAGTGACATGCAGGGTCGTTGTCAGGAGTCAAACTTGCACTAGGGAGAACAATGGTACTTCTCTGATGGGATTGGCTAAATAACTATGGCAAGTTAGCTTGGTGTGCATTTCATCATATTAGCATGATAAGGGAATTTTCAGTAAAGGGAGCTCCTTGATTTTAATTTTTGAAATTTAGGAAAAAAGCTTTATTAAGGTATAAATTATATACTACAAAATTCATCCATTTAAACTGTACAATGGAAATATATATTAGTTATTTTTCTGTCATTTATTGAAGCTATCTCTGCCTTCAAAACCCTACAGACTTTTAATACTTAAGATGTACCACTTACAAACTGTTTACCATCTGACCTTTCACCTGCCCTTCTGCATTCTCCCTTCATTCTTCACACTAGCCAGACTTACCTGCTGTCACCTAAACTCACTTTCCATCACCTTGCCATCTTTCTGTTCACTAAATTGCTTGTCAAAAATATCCTTTCCTCTCCTCATATGTTACCTCAAGCTTACTTTATTTCACCTTTTCCAGGAAGCTCCTCTAAATATCTCAACTGGATTTCCTCTCTCCCTTCTTCACAATTCTAGTGACAGTGCCACAGATTTGATTTTATTCCTTACTACTTTGTGTTGTTTACTTGTGTTGTTAGACAAGTTTCCTTATCTAACATAGGTGCATAAATGTTTTGTTTCATGAGATTGTTACATCAGTCAGGTGGGAGCCAAGTCTTTCATTTCTTTGTATTTTTCAGGAGATTCTTGTATGTATAGGCTTACCTAGTTTTACGTTAAGCTTCACAGACATTATTTTCTACAAATTGGAGGTTTGTGACCACCTTGTGGTGAGCAAGTCTGCTGGCACCATTTTTCCAGCAGCATGTGATCATTTCATATCTCTTTGTCACATTTGGTAATTCTCACAATATTTCAAACTTTTTTACAATGTTATCGCACACTTAATAGACTACAGTGTGGTATAAATATAACTTTTATATGCAAAACATTCATGTTACTCTCTTTATTGTAATACTCACTTTATTGCAGTGGTGTGGAACCCAACCTGCAGTATATCAGAGGTATGTCTGTATTAGGTGCTTAGGATAAATACATTTAGATTGATAAATTTGTTGATGTTCTTCATCTCATAATTCCTGTTAGTGTTTTGATTCCAAGGTCATGCAGAATTATTAATAAACTACTATTAATAGGTAGTCTACTCTGGTAGCATAGTGCCTAAGGCATTTGACTGCTAACCAGAAGGCTGGCGGTTCAAACCCATCAGCCACTCCTTGGAAGGAAGGTTGGGCAATCTACTTCCATAGTGATAGTGCCTTAGCAACCTAAGGAGGGGTTGCTATGAGTCAGATCCGACTCGATGGCACAAAACAACAACAACAACTCATTGCCATTGAGTTGATTCTGACTCATAATGATCCCTATTGGGTTTCTAAGCGTGTAAATATTTACAGAAGCAGACTGGTCACCTTCCTTCCATGGAGTAGCTGGTGGGTTTAAACTACTAACCGTAGTTAGCAGCCAAATATTTTAACCACTATACCACTGTTGTTGTTGTTGTTATTGCCGTCGAGTCAGACCCAACTCATAGCAACCCCTCCTTGGGTTTCTGAGGCAGTATCACTACGGAAGTAGATTGCCCCATCTTCCTTCCAAGGAGTGGATGGTGGGTTTGAACCGCCAGTCTTCTGGTTAGCAGTCAAGTGCCTTAGACACTACGCTACCAGAGCTCCCCACTATACCACTAGAGTTCCTTAAACCAAAAACCAAACTCACTGCTGTCGAGTTGATTCCGACTCATAGCAGTCCCTCCTTGAGTTTCCGAGGTGGTATCTTTACAGAAGTAGATTGCCCAGTTTTCCTTTTGAGGGCTGGCTGGTGGATTTGAACCACCAGCCTCTGGGTAGCAGTGAAAATGCCTTGGGCACCATACCACCAGAGCTCCTTAGAGCTCCTTAGTAGGCAGTATACTAAATACCAGAGACTATAAGGGACTATTCCCTGGAGAAGGATATCATGCTTGGTAAAGTGGAGGGTCAGTGAAAAGGGGGAAGGTCCTCAATGAGGTGAATTGACACAGTGGCTGCAACGATGGGCCTCAGGTATAGCAAGGATTATGAGGCTGGCACAGGACCAAGGTGGTGTTTCATTCTGTTGTGCACATATCGGGTTGCTATGAGTCAGAGCTGGCTTGACAACACCTAACAACAACAGCACACCAGTAAGAGTGTCTTACTGTGTGGAATTCTTTGAACTATTTCTCTGAAGTACTTTTTAGTTAGTTTATTTGACTATCACTGCTATTTATCATTGTTTTGGTGATAAATTACTGAATTAAATTCTTCTCTCTCACCAATTGAATTTATAGGACAAATATGTTAATGTTTTTTTTTAAGAGTAATTAAATGGGAGCTTATCACCTGATGACTTGAATATCTTTAATTTTCCTCTGAAAACTTTCTCTTTAGTATGAATCATAAGCTGAAAGTGATATCTCTCACAATTTTCTTGTTTGATTAGAAAGAAATTTAAAATCATTACTAGGTTTTATCTTTTGTTTTCAAAAATTTGAAATAAAAAAATAAGTTTATATAATGCCTTATTGTTGTACTTGGCAGGATATAAAACTTAAGCACTTTTTTAAAAAAAATGCATTTTATTGAAATGTAATTTATGTACAGTGAAATACACAAAACTAAAGTGATATGGAGGTCAACGGATTTTAAAACTTAACCACTTTTAAAACGCATATTTACTTTTTACCTTCAAAAAAAGATATTTCACGATTAATATACAGTCAGGATTTGATGTCATGACTGTATTTTGGAGCCTTGATGTAAATACTTGTTTCTGTTGCCTACTGTGAAAATGTGCCATAACAGTAGTCTGAGTCTCTACCTGAGGCCTGAGAAAAGCAGTTGAAGGTGTGTGAACAGTGAGAAATCTAGCACTTTTCCTTTACTGTTTCCTTTCAGCACATAGCGTTTATTAACTTCAGTTCACACCTCATCGGTTGTTACTGCCCAGTGTGCAGAGGTTCAGGACTCCTGTGCTGAAGGTGGGGGCCTTGTTGAGAGAAAAGTCACATAGACACTAAAACTTAATGTCCTTTCTTAATTATGTGGTTAAGATACAACAGAAAGTGTAAGAAAGAAAATACATTTAAAAAGTATCATAATGGAGAAACGATGGAAGAAAAATTGCACAAATAAAGTAGCATTACGTCTTTTTCTTTATGTTCTTGAACTGATATTTTTTGTGGGTGTGTATAATGTATAAAGGAGAAATTAATAGTAATAGTAGTGAAAACAGTAGCAATATTAATCATAGTAGTAATTTTATGACTATAATAAATAATAATTGTCATTGTCATCTATATGACGAAACTGGGCTAGGTGTTTTACATACATGTGTTCTTTTTTACTTTTATATTTAAAATTATGACATATTTAGAAAAAGTATATACAGCTTTTTCATTTGTACATATACAGTTTGTATGTAGTGCCCTCTCTGGTAACTACCACCTAGATCATGAAATAGAACATGGCCAG